CAAAAGTGAGTCGGCAAAAGTGAGTGCCGACGAAATTATCATTGCGTTGGTAAAAGTAATGCCTTTAGCGACGAACATAGTCGTCGATAAAAACCTTCATCCATCATCGACAATTTACCTTGCGTCGGTAAAAGTCACTCAAATATGATAATTGTGTGGCACTTTTCGCAACACAAATTTGCATGGGCAAAAAATATACTTTTAGCAACAAAATATGCATCGGCAAAAGTAAACTTTTGGCAACACATTTACGTCAGTAAATGTTGCCATTTGCCGACGATTTGTTTGTTGCTAAAGTTTTACTTTTGGCAACGACAAATTGGCATTGGCAAAAAATACACTTCTACCAACACAATATGAGTGGACAAAAGTAAACTTTTAGCGACACATTTACGTCGATAAATGTTGCCATTTGCCAACGGTTTGGTTGTCAATAAATCTTTACTTTTGGCAACGACAAATTGACATTGGCAAAAAATACACTTTTAACAACACAATATGAGTGGGCAAAAATAAACTTTTGGCTACACATTTACCGACAAGTTGTTTGTCGAGAAAGCTTTACTTTTTGGCAACAACAAATTTTTAGCGGCAAAAAAAATTGAAAATCATTTATATTTTTTTATAAGATTTACATATTTACAAGAGGCATCCCTTAGGCACTACTATTACAAACTAATAACATTGATATTAAATCACCTAAAGTTGAAGGGTAGGCAAAAAAACACGACAAAAAAATATGCTTTTGGAAGCGGTGTATAAAACCTGAAAGGGTAAACTCACTAAAATACTCAAATACATCCAAATTGTGAACCCATAGTAAAAACAGCAGATAACAAAATAAAAATATGAAACTAACAGCAACCCAAATTTGCAACAGACCAGCGTCTAGTAGCAGCCCACTTCACAACAACATTGCAGCAGCAGCAGCCCAGCAAAATTCTGCAGCCGCAGCAAACCAGCAAGCAACAACCATCAGCCACCAGTGTTGGGTAACAACCGCGGTAGACAAATATTTCACCTGTTGACCAAACGGTCAACTGGCAAACACAAATTCAGACTTTGAGACAAACTCAAATTTAAGCTACCAATCATTTTTCTTATTCTTTTCAGCATTTTAAGCTGCTGAATTGTCCAGTTGATTGTCTTCAATCAACCATGATGAGTGCATGCATCTTTGCTAAAGCTATAACAATGATTTGAAAAAATCAGGATGGTGACAATCAGACCCCACTAATAATTCTCAAAATCAAGCAACTATTGACATCAAGAGCACATAGTCTTTGACCTCCTGTGAACATGGTAATGTTAATCTTGGAAAATTATTCGATGCTCTAGGGATACCACGTGACTCATATCACCAATCAATTACTAAACAAATAGTCTTTGTTGTTTCCCATGCCGCAACAATCAATTGTGGACCTATGTTGCCCAGATTTTGGCTCTTCCGCTCGAGCGGACTTCACAAATTTTGCTCATTCGCTCAAGCGGCTATTCTTGCGCTCGAGTGGGATTTGCTACTTCTTAGCATTTCTTTTAAAGTTCTGAAAATACTGGAAAAGTGCTTTAGACGCTCAAGCATCTAGTTCCACACTCGAGCGGAGACCCACGTCTGCAAAACTTCTAAAAATGTGTATTTTATGCTTGAGCGCCAACTTTCACGCTCAAGTGGAACCTTGTGTCTGACGCTCGAGCGGGGCTTTCCACGCTCGAGCGAACTGCGCATATAACAATCCGAGAAGATAATATTTTGAATCACTTTTTCATATCCCCCCCTCTCTCTCTCTCTCTCTCTCTAAAACTCTCCAAAAAGCTTGTTCTTGAGCCTCTCTCTCTATAATTCACCTTCTCTCTTAGATTTCACATATTATTTCTTGTCTAGCCACTGAATGGTTATCACCTTGGTTGTCTTGCACCATCAAACTCTTCGCCATCTTCAACCCTTTTCTCGAGGTCTTCAAAGATTTCATGTTGTTTCTTCCTAGCCATCACTCCAAATTAGATAAGTCCCACTGGGCATGCCAAAATATGTTAGCAAAAATCTAGTTTGGGTCAAATCGATAGAGGAGATTCGACAAAGAAATCAAATTTTCACAAAACAACAACAGATCAAAAAATTGTGGTTCTTGTTCTATGTCTTGACAATTTCAAGGACTTCTTTGAGATTGTAATGCGAAGAAACAAGTGTACATAAACTGAAATTTGATTAAAGAAAAATTAAACTTGCCACTTAATTACAAGAATTAAATTACAAGTTCAAAATGCACAGCAATCGATTGAGGAAAACTTGGCTACAAAGACTGAATTACAAACAAACTAGTTTGGGAAAACTATACAAGGGGCTAATGTTTTTCAGTTTAAAATACATATATATATATATATATTACTGGAGCAGCCCTTACGTTTCAAAAGCCCTCTAAATACCTAAGAGACCTAATTCATATTGATTTCATAGAATACTTATTTTGCCATGTGCCTTAAAATTGATTTGCAGAAACTCTTCTTTTAGGTGTTTAAAAACTATGCATCCTTCAATGCGCTTTGATCATCCACTATACATTAGTTATTTTTTGACATCTAACAAGCTGCAAGGAGCTGATATCTAAACTATTCCTAAGTACAAGAGCTACTCATAATTAAGTTATGCTACTCCTAATTCCACATGGGTTGTGAATTTTGTTAAAGCCCTTTTTATCTTTGAACTTTCACCTTTTATATGACTTTCAACGGCCATGCTATGCTACCACGTGTCCATTTGTCATGCTCCTATAACTGCCCATGAACTGCAATTGCTGCAACTACCTCTGAACTCTCTTTTTTCTGCTATTGCCATGTATTGCCTCTTCATTTCTCTTTCTTAGGCCACTAACTTTACTTCATTCATTCTTGGCTTTCTTCTGAATGTATCCGAGCCTCTGTTGACAGAGAATTTTTAATTTTTTGGTGTCAACACCATGTTCACTAATTAACTTATTCATGGGTATCACCCTATTTAAGTTTTTAAATAAATTACACAAGTAGTCCGTAAAGTAAATGTTTCATATTTTTCATAATTGTCGTCTAAAATGCATAAAAAATGATAACGTCAATCTCACAGATGTTGAAAGGTATTTTAGTGTCTATTTATATTTTAAAAAAAAATCAATCAAATAATTAAACACTCCATATATTTGACTCTTAGTAAGTGATTGAAAAGTATAAATATTCATTTCTCATGTCTCGTGATTTAGTTAAACAAAAATAGGATAAATTTCTCCAAATTCCCTTCAGATAGGTTGACATAAATATTTTTTTTTGTATTTTTTTATATGGCAGTTAAGGTAGGGACTACGTTGAAGTAATGTGTAAAGTTGAGGGATATAATTGATACAAATTAAAAATCAAGGACCAAAATTAATAAAATAAGTGTTGTAGTTTAAGGATTAACCTAAGTTGCTGGTATTTTCACAATTGATACCCAAATTTCATTAGTTGTTATGCCTTGTAATTGGAATGGATGGAATAAAATACAAGGAAACTATTTGGGCTACAGTCTTAGAGCTCGTTTGGGATGTGGGTTAATTTTTTGGCTTTTTAACTTTTTTAGTCTACGGGTTGAAAAGTCTTATTTGGGATAGGCTTTTTGATTTTTTTGACTTTTGTGAAAGAAAAAATAAAATGATTATGAGTTGGATGTGACATTTTATCATATTTGACTAAAATAGCTTATTTTGTCTTATATGGCTATTTTAGAGGTTTAATTGGTGTAACTTATTGGGATGTTTTGTTTATGATGGCTTTTTATTTTTATTTTTAATAATTTGTGAGAATGATTAGTGTTATTTATAGTTTATGAAACAAAAATTGTTCAAATAAATTAAAAATAATAATAGTTATTAGATTATGAATTTTTTATTTTGTAAAAGTTATAAAACATTAATTAGTTAGATGTAATTTGCTGCTCTTTGTGAGAAGCATGAGTGACAAGAAATGGTAAATACAGTGTTCTGAATTATTGAACAATGGTAAATATACTATTACCTGATTAATTTAATTTTTTTATATTAATGATCTAAGAAAAAAAAATTTAAATAAATAGTTTAAATTATCAAAATGAGTAATGTCAAATAACACTCTCTAGTTGGAACTTCCATCATTAAAATACTAGGCTAACTAAATGCCAAAAAAAACATTTTTTATTAAATGAAGTGACATGCAATATATAATTTTAGTATTTAAAAACAGGACCACAATAATTATAGAAGAAAAAAAAACAAAACAAAACAGGACCACTATAATTTATTTACTTATTTATATTGTGCATTACAAAACTTTAGTATTTAAACAGGCGCACGATAATAATATGGTATGTGTCGCCTTAATGACAGTGAGTTTAAAAAAAATAGAATAATTAGTTTGTATAACATTACTTAATATTCACCTTAAAAAAAGCACATTACTTATTTATACTAAAATTGGGGCATGTTGACTCACTTTGGTTGATTAAGAAATAAAGAATAATTCAACTTTACCTAGAAACATTACGTAGATTATATCACATAATACTTTTGGAATATCTAATAATTTCGTCTAGTTCTCACCAAGAGATTTGATTCTTTATAGTCGGGATAATTAGATTTGATTCTTTATAATCGGGATAATTATTTAATAGTCTCGGAATGCATTACGCTTTGCTAACTTATGAGTAAAATTAATTAATTAATTAAACTAACTCAAAGACTTGCTAAAACCTCCAAAGTTTTAGTTACTATTCGTAAGCTCAGGCATTGACATTTACTCATGAATTAATGTGGGCTAATTAGTTGCAATTTGCAATAATAGCAGAAGGAAAATATAATATAAATTAATAAATTTTATATTTTTTTTCTTATTAAGATGTGACATATATAAGAATGTAACTTTAAATGTAAAAAAGTACTCATTTGAAAAATATGATTGGGACAACTCAAATTTTATTATATAGTAAACAAAACGTTATAGATAAATAAATGTGTTATTCTAGCATTAATGGATTAATTTCTACCACTTATATCACCTAGGCCTTGTAGTTGAAGGAAACCATTATTAGTCAAGAAAAACATGGAGGTTGAGATCATTTCCAGGGAGACCATCAAACCATCTTCTCTAACACCTCCTCACTTGAGAACTTACAAGCTCTCTCTTTTAGATCAGTTCATTCCTTCAAACCATGTCCCGATAGTCCTCTTTTATCCCATGCTTGATAACGATCATGTTCATGTCACCTCTCAATTGTTGAAGAAGTCCTTGTCAAAAACCTTAACCCGGTTTTACCCACTTGCTGGGAAGGTCAGAGATGCTCTCACCATTGATTGCAACGATGAGGGAGCTTTCTATGTAGAGGCTCGAGTCAAATGCCATTTGTCCGACTTTCTCACCCAACCTCGTGTCCCATCCATGAATCAATTCCTTCCCTATGATGTCGCTTGGAAGCGAGATGAACCAATTTCAGGGCTCCATGTAACCATAATCCAAGTAAACATATTCGACTGTGGTGGAATCGCCATTGGTGCTCTAGTTTCACACATGACAGTCGATGGAACAGCGTTCAGCACCTTTCTCAATAGCTGGGCTGCCACTGCTCGCGGATCTTGTGAAGCAGTACCACGTCCAAGTTTCATTGCACCATCTCTTTTCCTTCAAAGTGATTCTGTGCCAAAAGAATTGACAGCGATGGGCCTGTTAAAACACTTTCTCAAAAGAGGCGACTGTGTTGCAAGGAGATTCATATTTGATGCCTCAGCCTTGGCCACACTCAAGGCCAAAGCAACCAGCTCTTGTGGTCAGAGTCAGAGCCCTAGTCGTGTTCAAGCTGTGTCATCTCTGATCTGGAAATGTTTCATTGCAGCTTCAAAAGCAACATCGGGAGCCTACAAGCCAATTTTATTGGGCCATGCAGTGAATATACGCCCGAGAGCTCTGCCGCCCTTTTCAGAGTCTTGCATGGGAAATTTTCTATGGCTGGCAGTTGCAGAATGCAAAGACGAGGCCAAAACGGAGTTGCATCACTTGGCGGGTCAAGTGAACGACGCAATAGCCAAAGTTAATGGCTACTTGGTGAAGCAGCTACAAGGAGAGGAAGGGTCTCTCAAGTATTGTGAGACTCGAGGAGATGAGAAAAGCACTTCACGAGGGAGCAGATTATTTGGGCTTTACAAGTTGGTGCAACTTTGGTCTTTATGAAGTCGATTTTGGATGGGGAAAGCCTATATGAACATCTCCTGTTGGATCAGGAGAATCGATATCAACAATTTTTTACCAGAATATGGTTATTCTGATTGAAACAAAACAGGGAGATGGAATCGAAGCATGGGTCTCCACGGATGAGCAACAGATGGCTATATTCCAATGTGATAGAGAGCTCCAAATTTACGCATCGGTTGATCAAAGTCCACTGAGCCTTTGTAATTGAGTTTCTTTGCTCATGAAGATCACCATATTGAAGTTGTATGTCTTTTCAAAGTGTTTAATTGCAAATGAATGTGCTAAAATCTAGTGAGTCACTCCAAACAATAAACAAGGATATGATACATAATAATATGCTCAGTAAGAACTTGAGAGTTCAAACAGAGTCTACAACCAGGTATTGTTCTAAAAGATTTTCAAGTTACATGCTTTCTTTCGAACTTCCATTACAAAGTTCACATAAATCAATAGGTTGGGTACCAAAACAATAAAATAGCACAATGACTTCAGCAATATACAGGCAAAACTTTTTGCTTCCCCAGCTAGTTGGAGAAACACAAAACTCATCTCTCACACAGAACAGTAAAGTTTGTTGGCAAACACAAAACTTCTAACTACCAATCTGAACCAGAGCTTCATTCCCATTGATGACACAAATTCTCACTGGCGTCATCTGATCAAGCACCAAGAAGCGGGAACCAATGTTGTGGCCACTTAGGATACATGCGCTTAAACAAACTCATGCATACTGTATCGTGCTGCTGGAGGACCCCATTAAAAACACACTTCATCGCTCCTGAGAACAAGAAAAAGAAAATTACTGCGCGCATCCTCACTGTATAACTTTTTCTAAAATGAATTACATAGTCCTAGTAAGCATCATACCATGTGTACCAACAGGTTCCTTAATGAGACCACGCCGACCACACTTTGACCATACTTCGACAGGCTGCAACAAACATGAAGATCCATAAATCCAACTATGATACCCGTAGATATGTCAATATACAATATATACTACCTGTCAAACAAGGAATTAAACTATGACATGACAGCTAGGAAATTTTCTTACCTTGAACCATCTCACATCCTCTGGATTATGAAACATGTATCTTACTGTGGATTTTAATTTTGATACTCGCTGAGGATAACTGCATCACACATATGCTTTATATGAGCAAATCAAATCAAAACTTATAATAACCAACAACAGCCACAAATGAAATTTCATTAGTGTTTAATTTACATTGAAAGCAAATCAACTATTAAGGGTGTTTGGCAAAAGCTATTTTTTTGCTTTTTGGGCTAAAATTTATAAAAAGACAAAATAGGCTAAAATAGCTGATAAGACAAAATGTCACATCAAATCCATAATCATTTCACGTTTTCTCTCACAAACATCACATCCAACTACAAAAAATTTCAATCATCTTCCCAAACACCCACTAGGTATGCATGTGAAGCAAGTATCATTATGTAGAAACTGTAAGGGATGAAAATCTTGTAATCCTAGCACCAATGAACATCGGTTAAACTTTAAAGTCACAATTGAGAATTTAGAAGACATAATTATCAAAGCAAAGAGGAATTAATTGAAATTAAAAAAATGGTCCAACTCTCCAGTGCCTATTTGACAACCATGCTAACCTAGCAACCTTAACAAGCAGAGAAAGCCATTGGATAAGCTTAATGAAATTTTCAGGCAGAGACTGATGAATCATTTTTGCTAACCGAATACACTTTACCAGTTCCAACTTAATTACCCAAGAAAGCATTTAAGCAGCAAAAATCAAAACGAAATGCTTGCCAATCTTCTGAGCCAGGAAGAATTGTCAATCCTGCTGCCTCATATGAAGGTCAAAATCCCAACATGTATAGTCAACAAGAAATAGTAATTCTAACAATCTGATTACTCTAATTTGATCTAATTTTTACACTGGCATATAAACCACCTTTTGGGGAAGGGGGGAGAGGCAAAGGACTTGGATACAAATGTAGGAGACAGATTTTTTCTTACCCAGTTAAAATAATCTTCTTTGCAATAATCCTATCTGGATCGATACTCCGTAAAGAACCAACAGCAGCAACTGAAGGTGAGGTAGAAGCTGCCTCACACTTTAGAACAACCAAAGGAAGAGGAGGAAAAGAAATTGGAGCATATATTGTAGCTATGGAAAACTGCCCTGCATGAAGAAACCTCTCCATCTTGTGCTTGTCTGAATTTATATTGTCAGAAGAAAATATTGGCCTGAAAATTAAACAATCTCAATACTTCAGAAAAGTAACAGAAAATTATGTAATTTACGTAAAAACAAAAAGGGGACTAGCAGTGACATATGAATATATTACCTACAGACATATTGACGGAAACCAACATGAAATACCAGTTCCTCTTTAGCTTTGATAGGAGCAGTGTATGTGTCATGCTTCTTTACACTGAAGAAAATAACATAATCCAAACCGTGCAACAAAGTCACAACAGAGCAAATCATTATATCCAAAGAAAAAATAAAAGACATGGAGATACTAGAACAAAATATACCTGAAATGAAGAACAGAAATCTTAGACTCGTGTTGCAAGAGGCCACAAGCTATAATAGGCATTTTTTTTGCAAGCATGCATAATTTGGAAGCAACACCAGTTGCCACGTCCTTGACATGAAGTGTTGCATAAGAGCTTGCTGGTATGCAGTCATCTGAGCCCCCTTGCTCCATTTCTAAAGCTTTTGCGAGGACATGTTTCTGTGTTCTTGTGAAATTATCAAATGCATAAATTTTTGCATATTCTGGAGGTAGAGATTCCTGAATTCATAAACAGGATAGTCAATAAATCCCTCTAATTCAGAGACAACAGAAAACGCTTGCATAGACCAAACCAAACCAAACTAAGTCTTGAGTCCCAATCAAGTGGAGTCAGCAAACACACACTACAAAAATCAGAAGAATTACTTTGGGGTCCCATGAAGAGGTCCTGAAGGACTTGAGGCCTCTATATTTAGCAAAACGCCTTCGAGCGGGAACATCTATTGGAGTATCCACTTCATCAGGAAATTCTGTGATGTAGCAAACTAACTATTAGAAAACAAGTCAAGATAACATATACAGCAGACATAACCCACCCCCAAAAAAAACATATAGCAAAGAACACAGAAAACTCAAATATATATTATACAATACTCAATTTAAAATGTAGTAAAGATTATCTTCAAAACAACTTAAACATGAATATACATGACTAAAGGAATAATTAAGTTATTTAAAGAAATATTTCCTCCCTTCCTGTTAAAAGATCTGTGGAATACAGTTAGATTCTGATTAGATGAAATTTCTCAGAGCAGGTGGGACAATGAGAGAGATCCACAGGTCAAAAGCTGGGATCAAAGAATTTTGTGCAAGAAATAAATGCACATCAATGAAAATGGGGAAAGATAGTTATAAACCGAACGTAGACGGGTGTGATGAAGTCAATAACCAATTGTTAGTCAATGGTGTTCGTTTAAAAAATGCAGTAGGGTCCTCACCTATGATATATGTACTGCAGTTCTATAAGCAACTTACATGCCAGACACAAGCTGACATGACAACCAAGTCCGTTGTAGAAGAATTCAATTCTATAATCATTGCACAAACAGCATGGGTATTATTAATTATATCATAAACCTAGAATGAAACATAATTTACTCGACTGTTCTACCCTTTATGTCTTTCCAGGTAAACACATAAATGCAAACATAGAAAGTTGTGTCAACAAACACACAACCACGCTCCCACATTCCATATGGCTGATTCAGTGGGGCACTGAAAAAAACCACACCACACCCCCAAAAAAACAGTTTCTATCCTAGCACTTTTACATAATTAGAAGCATTTGCATCTCAACTGTACATTTTTAATGCTTTACAGAGACTACCAACTGCTACAAATGAGTCCACAAACACAACTATTTTTAATCTGGAACAAAGAGACGTACCCTCATCTTCAGCATGCTTTTCTTTAATTTTGCGAATCTCATCCTCTATTTGCTCTTTTGTCAAGTTCTCACCTTCCTGCAACACAAAGTAAAGCATCTTACATCTTTATGATCCAGGATAACTTATATAGCATGTATTGAAGAGGGCATTTTTGAGTCTTCATACTGACCATCATCACTGAATCAACTTCAGTTTCTTCATCTGAGTCCCTGAAATTTAGTTGAAGAGAAGCCTGGTCATCATCAAGGTCCAATTTGTCCTTGCACTCTTGGCCAGGAAAACCATTATCTTTTCCGTCCACCACCATTCCATCATCTGCATCATCATTGCTCTCTGATTCATCCAAATCTGAATCATCAACAATCCAAGCAGCCTGCAAAATTAATGTTTTGCACATATTACCAGTAAGCCCTTTGCTCCCCATCACGGTCATGTAGAGACCCTAGAATTAGAACAATGTAAGAGGAGATTTAGCAAAACATAAATAAGAACAGACCTGATATTCAGAAGTGCCACGAGGCAGGGACCTCTTTCTCATCCTTTTCTCTTTTTGGTTTCTATCAGCTTCAGCCATTTCTGCTTCCGTTGGCCATGTCTGATTGGTAAAAGAAGAATAAAAAAGGAAAAAAGAAAATCAATGTAATGAATGCAAAAGACAAACTCCAAAATAATTACATATATCTATTTGAGTCCAATATTTTTTCCTTCGGCGATTAAAGGTAGACAAATGATTACTTAATAATATAGTTGCAGGGTCATTTTGAAGAAGGATTTTGTTAGCCACTCGTTATCAAGTTTGAAATGGTTGTACATTCTTTATAAAAGAGCACTCCATAGAGATTACAAATTGTTAATCAATGCCCTTAGGGGTACTTGTTAACAAGACCATTTAAAGAAACTGTTTTGGGCGAAAGAAAAATATTACATCATGCATTAATCAAGTGAGAACCAGATCAAAACCACCACCAACGAAAAAAAAATATACAGCATTGGGTGAAAATTAATGACATATTAAACTAAAAAACTAACTGAAGAAATCATTTACATAACCAAAATTGTGATATTCATTCGCACTACCTGCTCTCCTGCAAGAGGATCTGGAACATTTTCAACAAGTAAAGGCTCTTGATTCATGGGATCAGGGGTCAAAGACCTGATTACCTGCCCAATTCAAAAAGTAAAATGAATTAGATGCAGAGAGGGAAATAAAAGAAGAGAATTTGAAAATAAAAAGTGACTAAGGTAAGGAACACCACCGGCCTTGTAGCCCATGTGGCATCCAGACCAGTTCAACACACCACCCATGGAAAAGGTACCAGACACCAGTGGTTTGTAACACCATGTTAATAAAAACAAGTGACGATCACTGTCAAATTCTTAGCCATACCAAAAAAAATGACAGCAAAGCAATTCAACATAATAAAGGGAAAAAAAATTGAAAAGGGAAAGGAAAGCATATAAATTTCTCATCCCATTTCCAGTTGGGAGGCAAAGACAACTCCCCGTAAATACGTAATATAACTAGAGCTATAGAAAGAAGTCCGTACTATTGTGCCTATGATTTTCAAATAACCAAATCTGTCATTTTTCTTTCAAGTTTTTAAAACCTACTAACTTTTTAACAATCCAATTAACTTATTCAAAGCAATCTGTTTCAAGAATTTTGCAACTTCTCTTCCCTCATACAAATCAAAATGTATCTTTTTGTTGCACCAAATCCAATCCTTCTATTTCAAATTATTTAACCAAACCAAACCAAGTCTTAAGTCTTATCAAATGAGTTCAGCTACATGAATCATTCTTCTCCACGCGGCTCTATCAAAAGCCATTTCGTTAGTCAAATTAAGTAGATTCATATCTCTATTTATTACGCTAGCTAACGTCAATCTAGGTCTACCCCATCCCCTAACACTTCCATCCACTGTCACTGCATCGCATCTCTTCACTACTACCTCTGTTGCTCTCCGTTGAATATGACCAAACCATCTCAATTTATTCTCTTTCGGCTTATCTTCTATTGGTGCTACTCCTACCCATTCCCGAATATACTCATTCTTAATTCTGTCTTTTCTAATCTTACTACACATCCACGTTAGCATCCTCATCTCAACAACACTAATCTTATCTACATGTTTCTTGGTTGCCCCAACACTCCATCCCATACAACATCAATGGTCTAATAGTTGTTTTATACAACTTTTCTTTTAGTCCAGTGGGTACTCATTTATCGCATAGTACCCCATACGCACTGCTCCACTTACGCCACCCCGCCTTAATTCTATGGACCACATCCGCATCAATCTCCCTCGCCGTTGTGATAATCGACCCTAAATAACGAAAATGTTCACTCTGAGGTAGTCTTTGATTCTCAATCTTCACTTCTCCTCTGCTTTCATTGTTACTGTTACAAAATTTACACTTCATGTATTCTATCTTAGTTCTGCTTATCTGAAATCCTTTGAATTCAAGGGTTTCTCTCCAAATCTCCAACTTTGTGTTAACTCCTTCTCTACCCCCATCCACTAACACGATATCATCTGCAAAAAGTATATACCATGGCAAAAGAGGGAGGTGCTTGGTTTGTATTGTGCCTACGATTTTCTCTTTTTTATCAAAAGAGGATGAGGAAACACAGAGGAAACGATAATGATCTTACATTGAACATAACTATCACATCATAAATTGAAACGTAGAAAAATAGGGAGAAAAAAAGGTAGTGATCTTCTACGGAATGCTAGTATACCATCATAAATCTAAATGTTAACAAATCAAGTTAAAAGGCATCCAATGTATATTGGATGGGCTAATCTGGACTAAACATCACCTAGGTTTTAACTATTTGACAGGTCAGTATCAAATTGGTTGCTTCTGCATACACAACCAAAATATTTTAATTGTTCCAATCAAACAAGTGTGCCAAACAATACAACATAAAACACACTATATAAAGATACTAGATGCAATACACACAAGTAGACAACAATAAGGATGAGACTTTGCTGAGCTAAGTATTAAAACAAAGATATAATTTGGCAGAAACTTGTTTCTCTTGACAGGCACATAATTTTCACAAACTGTACACATAAAACTCCGAATAAAGGGGGGGGAAAAGAAGAAATTAGGCTCATGGTCAGGTTAGTAGATGTCTTTATTTTGTTTATATTTAAAGGTAACAACCAAAACCTGCGCATCATGTACTTCTTCTGAATCCATAAGATCCCCTACTTTCCTTGCACTCAATGGACATGGATCCTTGAGAAGTTCAATTTTGAGCAACTGAAAATCCCCGGCACCTGATACATGAACCTGATCCAAAAAAGATCAAAAGTAAACCATGATTCTGAGCAACCAAATGGGCCAATTGCCAAAGCCTAAACAACATACCAGCTGGTTTACAGAGAGACTGTGAGCATGCAAATAACCAGTAAGGAGGAGTGTACATTTCTCCGAATTGCAAGCATCAGTTACCAAATCAACCTGTCAAGGCTCAAGTACCATGAATTTAATATTATGGGAATTTAGCTTATACAGGTCTAAATGCAGGCATGTAAAATGCCATATCAATGAGGAACAAATGAACTGACAACACAAAATAAATAAATAATATAAACCAGAGGCAAAAGGCTAAAAATAGGAACTAATTGCAATTTGTAAAACACAGAATAATTTTTATTTTTTTTTTAATTTCATAATTTCCTAGAAAGATGGCATCCAGGTTAAACAAAGAATAAAAATGGATGAATTGTGATATGCATTATGACAACTAGAAAACATGTGAGACATAAGTAGCACCAGATGGGAAGGGAAATGGGAGAAATCCATCTTGATACCTATTATTGTGCCAGATAGAGCATAATTTTATGCACATTGCACAACAAAGACAGATGAATGAGAAAACAATGGGGGAGATGGGATGGGAGAGAACGAGAAAAAACAAATGGTCTATGAATGATGGAAGAAACTGCTTTGGTAAATGGTATATACCAGAAGGATTTCATGTATCCAATTCGGAATGTTTGGAACAACAGAGTTGTCTAGAATTGTGTCAAAGTTTATATTCTCCACACTTGTCCAGTGTAATCACCATTTATCTGACCCACCAGACCTCTTTTGCGACCTCTCTCCAAACTTCAAGACATAAACAATCACTTCCCTTTCACTTCTCCGAATGAAAAGCAAATTACATGCCTAGCAGTTATTGCACATATCCAGTGGACAATAAAGAATGGTTGATACAGACATCAATAATAAAATCTACAGCGCGTATGGCATCATTCCAATAATCTGAACCACATTAGATGATATAGTGTATTAGTTATTTAAAGCATCATATTAACTACAATTTTTATTTTATTTTTTTTGACATGGAACATAACAGAAATTTAGGTGCTCCATTTGTAAGGATATATTATTTAAAATAAACTAAAGGTTAAACAACATCCTCAAAGTCCAAATGAACCAGATCTTAACTAGAAAATAGAAAAAGCAAATAGCACCTTTTGAGCCATGAGGTAAGGACGCTGGTTTCGCCAGTGAGGCACTGTTAGCCTTTGCTCCTTGAAAAGCCATATGAACTGCAACCATCACATAATAGGATAAATACTGGAAGTTTAAATGTATAATGGAAGACCTGTGCAAACTATGATTCTATCCATTCCCATGTATTTTAAACCTCAACGCCTCAAACCCAAAGTGTGTGAAGTAGATATATAATTACCTTGTGTAACTCATCTTTTGTATCTGCAGGATAAAATTTACAATCCTCGGGAAATTCAGAAACAAGAATAGAAGAACATGTCTTCTTCACATCGTGCCTTCTTTTCAAATCATTAGGTAGATCCTGAAGGCAGAACATAAAATTTTAAATTCTGCAACTCATGCAAATTATTACCAACAAAAAAAAAAAGAAAGCCTCCACCGAAACATCCAATGCATGCAAAACACGTCAACAAAAAACTTACACGAATCAATACACAAGTGCTTGGTAAACCAAGAGCTCGGAACACAGAAAGGCATTGTGATCCAAATGAATCAATATAAAAGCCAGAATTGCCTTCTTCACGTGAAGAGCTTGCAGATGCCACAAAAGCAATCAAATCTGCAACCTATAAATTCCAGTGCATTAAGTTTCACCAACGATATAGAGAACAGTAGCCCTAACGACAAACCTGCAATCAAAAGAACTGGAAAAATATAAATGGCTACCAGAAATATACATATACCTTGGCCATTTCGATACAGGACAATAGATCTCCATGAGGTGCTTTCAACACCTAATGCAGACAATACCATTAGATACTAAAAATTGTTACACATTGAGGAAATAATAGTTTATGCTTTAATCAAACTAGCATTGTAGATCATAAACAACAAAAATATAAAATATAACCTTTCAAAAGAATATCCCTTTTTTTAAAATGTGCATAAATAGCCAAAGATAACAAGAACATGATATAAAAAGTATAAGCATACCCTATGTGACTATAACTTATTCTCATACTCAAGGATAACACCGTAATGTAACAATTCCTTTGTTATGTCTAGACTACTCAGGTGAGCAGAATCTGATAGCATTAGTTATTTTCTAGCCATCACCTTGATCAATTAATAATTTTAATCCTTGTTGTCACACACACACACACACAAAAAAAAAAAAAACTTTTATCTGATCAATTAATAATTTTAATCCTTGTTGTCACACACACAAAAAAAAAAAAAAACTTTTATCTGCTGGTTGATCATTCTGACTGGTCTGCTCCAGGTAATATGGCTAAAAGCAAAAGGGAAAAAAGCGAAGGAAGGGGGAGGGAGAGTTTATTCGAGTCATATAATTGTGCTAAAAAATAATTGCCACTAAAAATTAGTAAACAAAATCTCACCAACCCCTCACTTCAAAGAAATGAAGTGGATCTTCAAAGTTCAAACAAAGGAAACCCAAGTTAAATTATGTGAAAATAGAACAACAAAATAAGGGCACTATCACATACATATCCAGAGTTCTAAAACAGTTGAAGAATGCACATTTCTTATCTAAACAATATAACAAGTGATGCCTCCAAAGAACAATTGAACTACCTACCACCAAAAAACAAATTACTAAATGGTATTCTGAATGGACTGTTACAAAGCCTACCGTAGTTCTCAGCTTGTAATCGGAAGAAGCTACAGCCGGAAACACAACTTCAGCGGATAATAACGCAAAAATATCTTCTGCAAGTGAATTTAGGTTCACAGAAGCAGAGAGGCCAAAAAGAACCTGTTATAAAGAGAAGTTAGAGTAACAAAACTAGTGAAGAAAACAAAGTCACAACTTTAAAACCTAAAAATCAAACCTGCACTGATCCCATAGGGGTATTTTTTTTTTTCCCCATGTGTGTGGATGATAGCACTCTTTTGTGGATGATATCAACCATAAATGCGGTTCACCAGATTATTGGATAATTGATGATAAATAGTACAATTTACATCACATTAGGCACTTTTTTTTTTATAGACATGTCCTAAAGTGTAGTGAAAATGCATATCTAAGAATTCAAGTACAACCTCATGCTATTCATGGAGCCATCACTTTCAACAAAACCAACATTGCCTCACTGGAGCATGTAAATAAATTCATGACAAAACAGAAAGCTAACTTGCTGAAATGCTACCTAAGATTATAGTTGAAACCAAGACTAGTCCAAAGAAGCAAGTGTAGGTCTACATGTATGCAAAACAAACCAAGCAACTCGAGCTCGGCTCTTTAAACATTCAAAATTGGTTTGTTATGTAAACAAATCAAGCTTCAGCAAGTTCTAAAAATTGCTAGTTTTCTAAGATCGTACTCAGCTCAATAAGCATTATAAAAAACCAAGCTACTAAAACTCGTTTGAGATTGGCTCGAAAGGTTAAAAAAAACTAAGCTTCAACAAATTTTGAAACTCGTTAAGTTTTTTAAACCAAGCTTAAATAACCTACTACAAAGCTTAACTCAGCTCATTTATAGCTCCATACCACCAACAGAATGGTTGTTTCTTGATTAAGATAACAGTATCATTTTAGCAGAAAGATGTTTACGAACTATTGTTATGAGGAGTTAACATAATAACATTGTATTAAACAAAGTTGAGTACCTTATCTGCGTAGTGACCTAATCTACTATTTTCTATCCTACCTGATTGTAAACTGCCCTAAGGAAGAGCCAGCTATGGTATATAGACACCTTAAAGAGCTGCAAGCAAGGAAAGGGATTCCCCTGCTTTTGTAGGATATAATCAAACATGCCAAGCGCTTCTTATGCCACTTTGGTACCATGAAATCAATGTTGATTCAAGGAATTTTCCCAATTCCAAGTAAAAAGGGGAATGGTTGGTCAACTTATCTTTGAGAAAGAAAGTCCATATTGTCTATGCTTACTTCCTTATATTTGAGAAAGAAAAGTCTAATGCATTTTTCTTTTTCATTATCTATCTCACCTAAGGTTTTCGTTTTGGTGGACTCTATGGTAACTTACCATTAAAATATCCCTACCACAATATTTTAGCCTATCCCTATTTCGTTTAAGGCTAAGGTCTGATCTTCATCATATAGTCAATCACCACTCATAGTATCCCATCCATGCCCCATACTGTCCTCCTGCTACACATATATAGTTCATTATTTAATTAATCGATAGTTTAGTTGACGTGGTGTTGAAAAACTGTCACACTATTGACCAAAATTAATTGAATATTTCATCTGAGTCCAAACAATACAAACATTTAAAAAAATATCGTATACAGGATACTCACAATGACACGGGGAGGGCTTGTCAATCCACTAGAGGCCCTTTTTTCTTTCAAAAGAGCAGCCCGTTTCTGCTCCCTCATCTACAAAAAAAAAAAATGCAATCCTGCCTTTAGGCAACAACAATATTATCTTTTATTCGATGAAAAGCTACAAATACAAGACCCCTAAGAGTTAAAAGTAATATATATTATGTAGAAGGGTAGAGAATTAAGACAAAAATTACCATCTTGTTGCGCTGAATTCGAGCAGCCCGAGCACCTTTGACAACATTGCGCTCAGATCTGTTCTTGCTATTATCTAAGTCACCCAATACAGATTACATAAAAGGAATAAATCAGGAACAACAGGAGGGTAGTAATTAAAAGCAAAAAGAAAACAATATTTGAAGAGCAAAATCAGAATGTAAAAGGACTGGAGGTACAACGAAATCTTGTCTAACCTTTGAGAGAGGTTTTGTGGATGTTACGAGATGATTTCGAAGCAAACCGAGTCTTATGGGCCTTGTTGACCTGAACTCGAGAACCCGCCATTACAACAGCAAGACTCTATCGCGGAGAAAGCCCTAGTGGCACATTAGATTGATGCTTGAATTCAATAACTTGGATCCTTCAGAAAAATATATATATACAGTTACAGACAGTCACACAACTCAAGACTCTGCAACCGGAAAGTTTCCAGGCAATGTAAATATATTGAAATTATATATATACATATATATATATATATATGTAAGTATTAAACTTCAAAATTGCTTAACAAATAAACTCAACATAATAGTCGAATTTTCAAATGTAACAATTAATGATGCTGTACTGTGTCACAAAACAAGTACTAATCAAAGAAAACAAATTAAGGAACAATCTGTCATGATTAGTTTTTTTTTATCCTTAACTATGAGATTTGGTTTCTTCACCACATGGAATGAATCAAGAAAACAAGTCAATCACTGCTCCGATGTTGCCATTGAATAAAAAAAATAAAAAAATAAAAAGTCTACATATATCGCCCAAAAACTCATGAATTTATTATATATTAATCAATACAATTCAATTGTGTAGCAACTACCATTACTAAATTAACCCCAAACGTGTAAGAAAAACAAACAAAAAACAAAAGCATAAACGATCATTCAAACTCCAAATGATCACGCACCCAGTTCAAATAAGAAACAAAATCTCCGATAATTTACAACTTTCAAGTCAATAATCGAAGAGCAACCAAAACTGTTAATCATAACGCCTCTAATGCTCACCGACTGGGAGAGAGTTTCGCTCGTAGCTTCGTTTCTCACCTTTTTGCCGCCAAAACTAGAGACGCAGAGAAACATAGAACCAGAGAAAGAGAGAAGAGATGGCTAAACTTTACCCTAATTTAGGAGCTGGGCATTGGCCGGTCCGGGCCGAATCCAAAATTTACCAGGCTTTGTGTCTTTTCAAATATGATGCAGTCCGAAGACTGGGCCAAATCAATTTAAGCCCAGATCTAAAAATAATATAACTTTCAAGCCCACTCATCAGGCCTGTGTTTATAAAAGGCGACTAATTTTTAAAAAATAAAAATGTATTAAAAAATAATCAAATCTAACATTCCAACTTAAAATATGTAATAATACTTTTTTTTACAACTCATTGACATTTTACAAATACTCTAATAATATAAATATTATGTATTGCGGTAAGTCAAAAATATAAATAAAATCAAATTAAAAAATAACACTCTAATAATATAAATATTATGTATTGCGGTAAGTCAAAAATATAAATAAAATCAAATTAAAAAATAATACTCTAATAATATAAATAAAATCAAATTAAAAAATAATTGAAGAAGATGCGTTGAAGTACCAAGGATGGAGCGCAGCCTTTCTTTGGAGAATCTGGTCAGCAAACAAAACTGTCCTTGGAGAGATGAGATAAGAGTTGCCACGTTAAATAAAGCTAAATTATGAGCAAATTATTAAGATGTTTTTTTTGAAAAACGTGTATTTTATTTAGTCTTATAATCTTTTGTTTATGCTTAAAAGTCTTATAATATTTTTTTTATTCCCTGTCTTTCTTCTTCTTTATCTCTTTTGTTCTTTGTGATTTTTGGTGATTGTCGATAGGTAACCACATCTTATTTCTTCTCTTTCTCTTTCTCTTTCTGATATATAGTCATCAGCAGGGGCGGAGCCACTCAAGGGCCAGGGGTCACGTGCCCCCGGGTTTTTGGATTTTTTTTTTTTTTCAAACATAAAGAAAATATTTTAAATAAAAAAATTTATAAAAATATTATTTAAAGTGAAATATCAATGACATTTTTAAAATTGTGAGAAAAATAATGGTTATTTTGATTGAAAGTAAAGAGACTATGATAAGTTATATTATTATTTATAAAAATTTCAATATAATGGTGATTTCTATAATTATTGACATGCAAACATAATTAACCTTAATGAAGATATATGAAATTTATTAGATTGTTACGTACATTTGACCTATAGAGTTTGTCCTCCATATGTTTTTTTCCATTCATAACTAAAATGACCAATATATAAATTATAATCAAGTAACGCATCTTCAATTGTAAAAAAAAAATTAAAAATTACAATATGTCATAACTAATATCAAAATGAGTCATAACTAACTATTACTTGATATATAGTAATAGCCAAAATAACAACCACAATAAATTATAACTAAATTATATCTAACACTATAATGTGTCATAACTAAAGACCACGAAGATCATAATTACGACATATGATAGACACTTTTTTTTATGGTGTGTTTTATAGAGTTTCTCTACTAAAATAGATTATTTTTATCTCAACTTATCTTCTTTTTTAATTTTCCAATCTACCTATAAATAGTTACTCCCCAATATTTATATAAAATTTAATCTCAAATCCTATAATTTAAAATTCACATTTATCTAAATGGACTCTTAATATTTAAGTTTAGTAATATCTCATTGTTGTTTATTATAAAAATAAAATAAAATAATTTGCTTGGTTAGAATTTTCCAAAAATACTTTTTAGAAAATTCTACTTGTTTTTTGTTTTTTTTTTAATTTTTACTGAATTTTTTTAATATTTTAAGCAATTTTTTTAATTTTTAGACATATCTAACATAAATATACCTAAAAAGTAAAAAAATTGTAAAAAAAACCTTTTAAAAATTCACTAAATACCAAAAATACAAAAAAAAATGAAAATTATGTACATTATTTGTATTTTTATGTATTTATTAATTTTTAAAATATTTTTTCACAAATTTTTTACTTTTTAAATACATCTAAGTAAAGTGCATCTAAAAAAGTAAAAAAAAAAATATTTAAAATTTTTAAAATATTCACTAAAAACAAAAAAACACAAAAACCAAAAACTCAAACTAAACAAACTGATGTTATCATTAATTTGTGCCCCCTCTCCATCAAATTCCTGGCTACGCCACTGGTCATCGGCGACTGACGACTACCATCGATTGGAGTTCACCGACAACCACCAACCGCCGACTCCTTACTTCACCCTCACCAACAATGAAGAAGATATGTTTCTGACGAAGAAGATTAGTAGATATACTTAAATCTTATGGAGATCTACATCAGATACGACTAGATCTAAATAAAAAATAATTGTTCGAGTACAATTCTCTCTCTATATTTGCCTCTCTCCTTTGATCTCTTAATTTTTCTATATTTTCTTTGCTATACATTTCTCTTTTTCTGATTTAATAGATAAAATTTTCAAGTTCTGAACAAATTATTTTCGAGTTTTAGTTACAAGCGATAAAAACTGTAAAGTTTTGCAGTTTTCACTTTTTTTTGATGTTGGAATGAATCATGGTTTAAAATTGTAAAATTTTACAGTTTCATAACATTCTTTAGAACTGTAAAATTTTGTAGTTTCATAACATGTTTTCCAGTTTTATTAATAAGGATAAATGCTTAATAGATTTTGCTTTGAAACTATAATAGTTTCAAAGCTTGCTTTTCAGTTTGATCAATATTGGAGGTTGTTTGCTTAAACCCTACAAACATGAAAAAATAACATATGTTTTTTTCCCATTGTTGCTATTTTTTGTCGTTATATATATTTTTTCTTTTAGTTTATCAATATTTAACACATTTTGTTATGTTTTTTCGCTCTAATTTCTCCATTTATTCATGTTTTCCTGGCAATATTATGGACATTCCGGTGAGTCTCCAATGATATTCTTAACCTCCAGCGAACGTTTTGTTCATTCTGGCAACTTCCATTAACATCCATAGCACTCCGATGAACTTCCGGCGATACTCTAGCGACTTCCTCGATGATGTTGAACATTCCGACGAGCCTCCCGTGACCGCCTGATAAAAGTTTGACGATAATAGGATGTAACAATGTTTGTAAATTTTAAAAAAATAATAAAAAATAAAATAAAATTTGGTAATAATTAAAAAAATATAGGACTAATTTGTTCAAGTGTTTTGTTTTGAGATTATATGGGTTTTGAACTTTGTATATGAGACCTATTGGTAAGTTCCCCCTAAATTATTAACTTTAAATTGGCTCTACAACAAACTTCTATTTAGGAGGAGAGAAATGTGACACCCTGAACGTTTAATTAAACGCCACATAAATATTTATAGTTATATATAATTGTGGGTGCATGTGATAATATATTTTTAAATAATTAATAATAAATATAGAATCTAATTTGGCACTGGGTTATATGAAATTAATTAGGGATTTTTATTTGGGGCCAAATTAACAGAAATATGAAATTCTAATACTAATTGGGTCAAATTAAAGTTAAAAATAGTAAATAAATAAATAGATAAATATAATAAATGTAATAAAATATATATATATATATAAGTGATATTAGATCTTTAATTAATGACGATATTGGATCTCCGAATCTGAATGATTAGGAATAGATTTGCAAATATATTAAGCATTAATGAATAGATTTATAAATATTGTTAAAGAAATAAAAGGAGGTCATCTGCACATCTAGGCTAGAAGAGGGGAGTGATTCATCACGTAGGCTATCATGGACAAGTGAGTCATCACCGCTAGCCGTGTGTATAAATAGAAAGAAAGGTGTTGTGGAATTAGGATCAGCCAAGAAAGAAAGAAAAACGAGAGAGAGGTACGTGAATACTGGAGTAAGAAGCTTATAGTAAAAAGGTTGTGTTAGTGGAGTAAGGTTAAGGGTTAATATTAAGGTGAGTTATATTATACCTTGAGTTACCATAATGTATTTTATGTATGTTTTGACTTACCATATTTATTTTATACAAGTTATGTTTTATAAACTATTATAAATTATATAAACATTTCAGTTACGTGATTTTATTCTGTACCCCATTTGCTTAAAAGGAAATCCATGGATAAGTTTGTTTATATTTTAAAGAATATTTGACTATAATCTTATAAACAATTATGTTTTATAAGTACTACCGCGGGAGTCCCACGCCTTAGGGGACTTAAATAGTCATTGGCCTCTGTTTGGCCACTTCGTGGTCCTCTGTTTGTCACGGATCCATTGACCTCTGTTTTGACTGTCACTTCTGTGACCTCTGTTCTGTTATGTTTTGTACCGTGGTTATGATTATTCATTTACATGATTTATGTATTTCAATATGCTGCCACTTTAAATAAATTGTTATTTCAAATTAAATTATGTAAATATTTTAGCCTAACTAATTATCCATGGTTATTTTGTATTCTCTATACTCGTGCCATAATATTTCTCACTCTGGTATGTGCTTATAGCTATTCCCCTTTCAGGTGACGAGATGTAGGGGAAACCCATAACCCCACAAAGTGGAACCCACACATGGATTGTTGTTGAACCATTTTATTTTTATTTTTATTTTATCTCCCTATTTTTTTTAGTTTTGCTCTATTTTTGTTCTACTCGGGGCCGGTCACTGAATAATAAAATAACTAAAGCCCTATAGATGTATTTTTTTTTCTTAAATAGTAAAATGAAGTAAATTTTCCATTTCATTATTTTTACTTTCACTTGCGCAGTTTAATTTGCTGCAAATAAGATAAGTTAGTAAGTTGCGATTCCAACCTTAAGTCCCTAGGGTTGGGTCGTGACAAAGGTAGCATCAGAGCAACGGTTTAAAAAAAAAAAAACTATTTTAATTTGATCAGGAAGTTCAAAAAGTTATAAATAAAACTATATAGTTAGATGAGCATAATAAAATGAAATAATAATAAACATTTACCTGCAATGTTAGTCTTTCTGTGTAAAATCTCACTTTTATTCTGGTGTTGTAGGAATGTCAGAGATTTATCTC